CGCTCCATGGCCTCTCTCCTTCTGTAGAATTTCCACTGCAAACTTCTCTTCAGTTCTCCCCTGGGAATGCAGTTACTCTGCTTTTCTTCTGTTAATCTTCCTGTGAGCGAACTCCACACGTCATTTCCCTATTAGGCTGTCCTGGATTCTTCTGCAGAATACTCTTTTTCAGTAACGTGGCTTCCATCCCACAAACTCTGACTTGCTCCCTCAGCAAGTTCACACCTGCATTTGCCCAAGTGAAATGAAACCCATGTTTACCCCAAAGCCAGGGCACACATACAATGGCTTTGTTCATAATCGCCAAAACTGGAAATAATCTCCAAACCTTGAACCAGTGGGGAGATAAATGAACTGTGGTATAGCAATAAAATGGAGTACTGCTTTGCAATAAAAAGGAACAAACTGCTGAGATACATAGCAGTGTAGATGAATTTCATGCCCTTTACTAAGTCAAAAAATTCCCATTGAAAAGGCTGCACACTCTGTGAATCCATGTATGTAACATTTTGGAAAAGGCACAACTAGAGGGACAGAAAAAGAGATCTTGCAGCTTTCTGGGGATTGAGAGGGAAGACAGATCACTGAAGGGGAATGACAGGTTGTTGGGAAGTGACCCCATTGTTCTGTATCTTGATAGTCATTGTGGCTACCTGACTCTGTATGTTTATTAAAGCTCACAGGGCTGCCCACTCATGAAGGTGAATTTTACCATACATAAATTATACCTTAATTAAAAAATTAAAATCTGGAGGGATGATCACCATTTTTCAGAATGATTCCCTAAGGGATTTGTTTTATTTGCAACTATTGTCTTTCCCATGATTTCCTTAGCCTAAGGGCTGTTGTATGGATTCCATGTGAATGTCATCGTGCTATCTGTTGTTTGAAGATTCGGAAGTGGGAACCAAAGGCCAGGGACATAGACACAGAGGGCAGACAGAGAAGCAAGCACAGGCGACAGGTAGGCTCCTTCTCAACAATGGTGACATTAGCTAAGTGCATCATAATCGCCTGAGTTGATCAGCGTGTAATTTTTATGACAGCTTAGAATTTACAATGCTCTCTCAGGTGCATTCACTCAGGGGATCCACACAGCACCTCTCTGCTACTTCAGAGCCACTAGTGTTGTCATCTCCATTTTAAAAGGAGAAAGATGTGCTAGTAGTTCTTACCTCCTCTGTGTGTCTGCACTTCCTTGGCCCTCTCCAGAGGTTGGCTGATTTAAATAGCATGGTCATGTGGTGTGATAGCTATAATAATTATGGATTTTACAGATATGCAATACAATTTTCTAATAGATAAGGAAACTGAGGTTCTGGGGATTTTCCACGCTCACTTCCCTAATGAGTATTAGAGCCAAGAGTTCAGAACTCACATGTTCTGGTTTCCAACCCACTTCTCCCTCTACAATCTTGTAATTGGTTCTGTGACTTTTATGCAGAGTGTATTGCAGTTAATGGGATTTTGCCATGAATCTCCACATATTTAATGTATTAGTGTATAAAGAGCTTTAACTGGGCTTCTATTATGACAGCCAGATTATTATAAATAAAGACTGCATTACTCACCGTCATCTTTCCTGGTAACTCCAGGGAAGTTGGAAGATAGTGTATAAATTTTGTGTTTCTTTTGGCTTCTTGTGTTTGCATAGTATCTGAACGTCTGAGAACTGTGTGTGTTGTTGGAAGCTATGACTTCCAGAGCAGAGAGCTCATCAACATAAACATGAGAAGGAGTGAGTTTTCAACAAACATGAAAATGTCTACATCAAAAGGAGTATGTTTCTTTAAGCTAGTTTCTTTGCAGGAACATCCAATTCAGTCGCTTTTTAGTTATGACTCATTTGTATGCAGATAGTAATGCCAGCTTCCTGATTGGTTTTAGCTCCAAAATCCGTTTCCGTGTTTCCTTGGTGGTCTCTGAGCAGGGCTGAGCCTTCTCCTTCACCGTCCTGAGTGTCTGCCACGGAGCTTGTCTATTCTAAGTGCTCAGGCAATGTTTGTAGAGTGGACCTGAACCAGCACTCAGGGATCAAAACCTTAACCAGGGTTAAGGAGTCTGCAGGAACAGACCTGCCATGCACCCTGGTAGTGTTTTCAGAATCCCTGTAGAGAGCTGTGACCCTCTGACTCAAATTTAGTTGTCCTTAACAACATCTTAAAGGGAATAAAAGATGGCTTTTATAAATAGTAGTGGGTGAATGAAACAAAGAATTAATACCAATGAAGAATGAATGGAATTCTATTCTATTTTATTTATTTATTTATTTATTTATTTATTTATTTATTTTAAGGGCAGAGTTACAGAGAGGCAGAGGGAGGTAGGGAGGGAGGGAGAGAGGGAGAGAGGGGGAGAAGGAGGGAGAGAGAGAAGGAGAGAGAGAGAGAAGAGAGAAATAGATATCTTTCATCCAATGGTTCACTTTCCAAATGACTACAACAGTCAGGCCGAAGCCAAGAGCCAGGAGATTCTTCCTGGTCTCCCATGTGGGTGCAGGGGTCCAAGCACTTGGGTCATCCTCTCCTGCTTTCCCAGGAACATTAGCAGGGAGCTGGATTGGAAGTGGACCAGCCGGGACTAGAACCGGTGGCCATATGGGCTGCAGGCAGTGGTTTTACCCACTATGCCATAGCATGAGCCCCTCTATTTCCTCTTGATATATGACCTAATTTAGAAGAATATGAATGAATCTTGTTACAATCTCATTATAAATAGACTGAGGGCCAGGAATTCAGTGTAGTTGTTAAGATATTCCATATTGGAGTGCCTGGGTTCAACTCTTGGCTCTGTTCCTGATTCCAGCTTTGTGCTTAATGCACACCTTGGCATGTATCAGGTGATGGCTCAAGTAGTCTGGTCCCTGCTACCCACGTTGGAGTCCTTGATTGAATTCCTGGCCTTTGACTTTGGCCTGGCCCAGCCCTGGCTGTTGCAGACATTATGAGCTGGTGGATTGGATATCTCTCTGCATTTCTTTTTTTGTTTGTTTTTAAGATTGATTTATTTATTTGAAAGTCAGAGTTACACAGAGAGAGAAGGAGAGGCAGAGACAGAGAGAGAGGTTTTCCATCTGTTGGTTCACGCTCCAAATAGCTGCAATGGCCGGAGCTGTGCCCATCCAAAGCCAGGAGCCAGGAGCTGCTTCTAAATCTCCCACACAGGTGCAGGGGCCCAAGGACTTGGGCCATTTTCTACTGCTATCCCAGGCCATAGCAGAGAGCTGGATCGGAAGTGGAGCAGCTGGGTCTCGAACTGCACCCATATGGGATGCCGGCACTGCAGGTGGCAGCTTTACCGGCCTCTCCGCATTTCAAATAAATAAATAAGCATTTAGAAATAAATTTCTACGCTCCCATCTACTCAGGAAGGTCACCACCTGTGGGTCCCTTGTTGTCATTGTGAGATGGAAAGTCTGATGGATAGGAGTGTAGAGGCAAGATTCTCTCACTGGATTATGAAAACCTGAACACACTTGGGTTGCTTGTTTCATCGCCTATAAACCAAAGTGCTGATTACTGACCGGTTCCAGCCTCTGCACTCAGCGCCACCACTTACGAAGCAGCTCAGCCTCATGCTCAGATCCAGCATGCATGAAAATTGCTCTTTCTTCAGGTCTCCATAGGCTCTCTCCGGAGACGACCCTCACTTCCACACTGAAGCGTGATCCTTAACCCTTTTGGTGTGGGGGTGGCATCTCAGTTTCATAAGCCTGTGAGCCCCCTGAGGATGGTGATCAGACCGACTTTTGTCTCCTGTGTGTGCCTGGCACCAAGATGTACACATAATGGACACACAAAGGGCTACTAAAAAAGTCTTTCAGGCCAAGAAAGTCCTTAGCTTACAGTACAAGCTTTCAAAGGCTAGATGGCACTGTTGCTAGAGCCAAATCAGGTGTTCTCTGAAATATCTGAGAAGGGAAGAGGAAGCAGAGCAGGGGGCCCCACAGCATTCCCGAGCTCGGTTTGATTCAGACACATTGCAGAAACGCGAGTGGGCTCACACCTGACCGGCACAGGGTACTTTGCCATGTTCTTGGCCCCTTAGCACACTTGGCTTCACAACGACCTCGGGTAGTGGGCAGGAGAGCTGTATCAATCCTGGTTTTTCAGATTGTGGCTCAGAAAAACCCAAGTGTCTGAACTAAAATTACACGGTAGTCCATCAGCTGTGCTTTTGACTGTGCACACCTTTTGGCATCGCCTTACCTACCCAATGAGGGGCCTTAGAGTGTGCTGAAGGGGGGCTGTGGATAGTGGTGTGGCTGTCCCAGGAGTGTGGCCTGGGTGGACTGGGCCCAGGGTGAGAGGAGAAAGGTAGGATTCTCAGCCAAACTGATTGAGTGGGTCAGTTTGACCTGTGCCTTGAGTTGTCTGGATTTTTGGCAAAGGGGACCACCACCATTTTGGAAGAAACAAATGCTACCACATTCAGGCTCTTTGAAGCACCAAAGTTGTGGTTAATTTGTACAGTTCTTAGGATCCAAGGTGAGAAGTTGCTGTTTCTTTAAAGGATGATGTATTTATAGAATGCTGCCCTGCTTTGGGTGGTGTCTGTCATTTCTCCATTGCTTTGCCGTGTTCACATGTTTTTCCTTAAAACAGAACAAGAAAATAAAAACAGAACAAAACAAAACTGTCCTGTGTAGGAGGCAGGGCATGTGCCACTATTGTACCCATTTTACAGATGAGAAAATAGAGTGCCAGAAATGTTAAGAGATATGTCTAAGTGTACATAGCTGATAGTGACCGAACTAAAACTTCAGCCTACTGTCAGGCTGGAGTCAAATCTTGTCCTCTTTTCCTTGTAGTTTTTCCCAAGTTACATCAGCCTATCTAAAAATTAAAAAATTTCAGAGCTGTTGTTGATATGGAGGGAAGGCTTCAGTGATTCTACAAAGCAACAAATGATTAATGATATGTAAATTTATGCAAAATTGAGAACACATTAATGTCTGCTCTTTAGGTTTTCTGATCGTCTCTACTCTTGTTTCTCCCCAGGATGATGAAGATAAACTGACCTGGAAAGATCGTTTCCCAGGTTACTTGATGAACTTTGCTTCCATCTTGTTCATGGTAATTGACCTGCAGGATCCTGATTGTGACTGTGTGTGCACCTGCTATGTGAGTGCTATGGGAATAAGGAGGGACCAGGAAAGGTGCAGCCGCAGCCCTGCAGGGAGGAGCAGGTCATCTCTGAGAGTGAGGCGTTGATCACACGTGTTTCACATTGGAACCTCTAGGGAGTGGCTTGAACACTGGGGCCTGGGGATATTCATCCATGGAGGATGGTAGCAGCATTGTGACGGCCTGTTTGGGCTGTGGGGTGGCTGTCTCTGGTGGCTTGTGGAGTAGAACAGCATCCTGAAGCCATGGGAGACAGGTGGTAGGGGCTCTGAAAGTCTGATTCTCCAGCTCCTCAATGGTCCTGTGTGTATTTCCTTGTGTTCTACCCAGGAGTTTGGTAGAGGTTTTTTGCAAGAGTCGGAATTTTCAGCTGTGTCAGGGAAAGCTGAGCGAGGAGTCTGCGATTCGTATTTGAGCCAGATTGATGAAATAGGAGCAGGTCATCCTTGGGAGCCAGGATGAGCAACTCAACAATGACTGAAGCTAGAAGCCCCCTGGTAATGTTAACAGAAAATCAGAAGACTGGGTTAGGCTCACTAACACATCCATAGCTCTTTATATGGAGAGATTCCTTGTGGTATTTAGTATTCAAGGCTGGGGGTTCTGTTTCACAAAAGTTAATGTGGATTTAAGAGCTGAGAGCATTTCTTTCTTAAACATTTAAAAACTTATTTTCATTATATTTAAAAGGCAGAGAGACAGAGAAAGACAGATAGACAGGAGATTCTTACATTCGCTGGTTCATTCCCCAAATGCCCACAACAGCCAGAGTTGGACCAGGCCAAAGCCAGGAGCAAGGAACTCAGTTCACATCTCCCATATGAATGGCAGGGACCCAAGCACTTGAGACATCACCTGCTGCTACCCAAGGTGCACATTAAAAGGAAGAGCCATTGGCAGTGGAGTAGCTGGAACTCAAACCAGACACTTGGATATGGGATGCAGGCATCCCAGGTGATGACTTAACTGCTGTACCAAACAAATGCTCAGTGTATTTCTAAGCAGGACTGTATACTACTTGTAGGGTGGAAGAGGAATTCCTTGTCCTGAGAATTGGGCCTATTACCCAGAAGAACCTCTGCCCCTACTGTAGGATACAGCTGCCCTTGTTTTCCATCATGACCTTGGAGGACAGCAGTCATGTTCTCTGCTGAAAGACTTAGCATGGAAAGACGTGAAGACAACCATCTACGTCAGCTCCTCACATTGCACCTGAAATACAGAGTTAGTGAGTGCCTCCCCAAAAGCTTAGCAGTCTCAATTTGTTTTCTTCTGGTTGCTCCACGAGCACAAAGCACGTCGAACTTTTTCGAGAAGATGGTGGGCTGCCATGTGTGAGGCTGGAATGATGTGAAGTTTAATTTAGCACTTCAAAGCCTCCCACAGGGTGCATATTGTTGTCCAGGAGCTTATTCATTCATTCAGGAAATATTTAATGAGTGCAGCTATGTGCTTGACACTATTCTTAGGCACTGGGGTTACAGCAGAAAGCAAAACAAAATAATCCCTCCCTTACCAAGTCTGTCTTTTATATCCAGAAGCGGTGAGTTTTAGAATATTTGTAATGTTTAATTTTGCTGAAATGAACCCAAAAATCAGATAAATATATTTTTCAGTCTTCTTAAAGCCTTTGAAGGGCTGTTGGGACAGTCAGTGACATTCTGCTAAAATCCAAAGGAAAATAGGAAACAAGTGGTTGGGCACAAATACTGCTTTTACCCAGAGGGTATCTTCCCATCTAGGCAAACTTGAGCTTTGGTTTGGGATTTTATGGGAACAAGAAGGACAGTAATCAGGGATAATGGCTGGCTCCAAGTGGGGACTCTAACCAGAAGTCAGAACTCCAAAGTGCTACACTGTCAGACCAGATGGAATGGAGCTAACCCCCTCCACCCACCCACCGGCTTCCCACTTAGGGCACTGCAGACAAAACCGTATGTTTCCAAATAGAAGAAAGGAAAACAGACATAGAATCCTGTCCCTGAGAAGTGGCCGTGGGCAGCCGCCACTGTGGGTTTCCAGCCCGGATCATCTCATGAGAGAGGACCCGGGGAATTCAGGCTATGAACTTGGCCCAGGGCCAGTGGTGTTGCCAGGTGCCTGGCAGAGCAGGTATGCTTACAAGTCAGATCATGTGCTGTGGCTGTGGGATCGATAATTAGATCAGCGGAACAAGACAGAAAACGAAGGATCTCTTGCACGCACGAGGCCCTGAGGATAGGTAGGGAGAACGAAGTTCTTAATAAATGCTGATGGCCTGTTGGATGTCCTCATGGAAGGAAATAAAACTAGCTCTTTACACCATTCAAGAACACTGATTCTAGCTGTTTTTGAAATATGAGAAGTGAAGCAATAAAGTTTTTAAATATATAGGAAAAAATGTTTCCGTGACCTTGGGGGAGAGAATTTCTTTCAACTCAAGATTCCATCAGTGCCAAGAGAGAAGAATTTCTTAAACAAGATACAACAAGCATAAGTATAATAAAACATTAAGAAATTTGAGGCCAGCGTTTGGCACAGAGGGTTAAGCTGCTGCTTGCAATACCTGCATACCACATTGAGTGCTGGTTCAAGGCCCGGCTATTCCACTTCTGGTCCAGCTCCCTGCTAACGTGCCTGGGAAAGTAGTGGAGGATGGTTCAAGTGCTTGAGTCCCTGCATCCACCTGGGAGACTGAGAAAGATCTCCTGGCTTCTGGCCTTGGCCTCGCCTGTCCCCAGCCTTTGCGGCTATTTGGGGAGTGAAGCAACGGAGGGATCTCTTAACCCCCCACCCCCCGTCACTCTGCCATTCAAATAAATATCTAAAATCTTTAAAAAATAAGGCATTGAGAAGTTTAAGGTTTTTTTTTATTTATTTGACAGATAGAGTTAGACAGTGAGAGATAGAGACAGAGAGAAAGGTCTTCCTTCCATTGGTTCACTCCCCAAATGGCTGCTATGGCCGGTGCTACACTGATCTGAAGCCAGGAACCAGGTGCTTCCTCCCGATCTCCCATGCAGGTGCAGGAACCCAAACACTTGGGCCACCCTCCACTGCCTTCCCGGGCCACAGCAGAGAGCTGGACTGGAAGATGAGCAACCGGGACTAGAACCCCACATGGGATGCCAGCGCTGCAGGCGGAGGATTAACCAAGTGAGCCACGGCGCCGGCCCCAGAAGTTTCAGTATATTAAAGTGAATAATTTAAGATCATAAAAAGACTGTGAGAAGGCATCGTCAGAGTGGGAGACTGTTTATAACAAATTTAACTCATAAAGAACTAGTCTCAAAATACATAAAGAATTATAAACCAATGGAAAAGGACAACAATTCAGTAAAAACTAAAAAATAAAAAGACAGGAACAGGTATTTCACAAAAGAGGAACTCCAAATGCCCAACCAAACCACGAAAGTAATCACATTAGTAATCATGGACATTCTAATTTAAACTACACTGAAATACCATCCAGACCCAACACATAGCCTTTTATTTAAACACTGGCAGTACAAAGTGTAAGAAAAGGTGCAGCACACTGGCTGGTGGTGGTGTAAACTGGGAAGAAAGCAACAACTTTGCAGGCAGTTGGGTGTTATCTAGTCAAACTGAACATTCAACTGGAGGCCCAGAACCACCACTCCTGGGTATATTGGAAGTGGAGCTGCCGGGACTTGAACCAGCACCCATATGGTATGCCAGTGTTGCAGGCGGCAGCTTTCCCTGCTAAGCCACAGCACCACCCCTCGCCCCTACTTTATTTTTCAAATGAAGGAACAATACTGGCATGATGGGTATATACCCATCACTCCTGAGTATATGCCCCAGGAAAGTGATGTGTAGCAATGCAGGTCTAGGAATGTTTTAGGAGGTGGACATTGGGCATGGCGGCTAAGGTGATTCCTGAGAGACCCACATCGCCTATCGGAGTGCCTGGGTTTGGTCCTAGTTCCTTCGTTTTCCATCCAGTTTCCTACTAATGTGCGCTGGGAGGCATCGGATGATGAATCAAGTACTTGGGTCCCTGTTCTCCACATGGGAGACTTGGACTGAGTTCCCAGCTCCTAGCTTCAACCTGGCCCAGCCCAGTTCTTGCAGGAATTTGGGGAGTGAACTGATGAAGGATGGGCGGTCTCTCTCCCTCTCCCTCTCCCTCTCCCCTCTCCCTCTCCCTCTCCCTCTCCCTCTCCCTCTCCCTCTCCCTCTCCCTCTCCCTCTCCCTCTCCCTCTCTCTCTCCCTCTCTCTCTGTCTCCCTCCCTCTCTCCTTCTTTATATATCTACCTTTCAAGTTAAGTAACAAATTTATTTTTAGAAGAATGTCTATAGAAATGCTGTTTATAAAAACCCCAACCTGGAAGCATTCCAAATGCCTTTCTGTGCCAGAATTGATTGAGCTATGCTCCATGGTCATGAAAATGAGTAAGTAGCTGTAAATATTAGCAACTTGGTGAAAAAAGTCAAAAGCATATGTAGCTTGATTCTCTTCATACACAGTTCAGAAAGAGACATATTAAACGGTATATATTTTATTTATTTTTGAATAATATTTATTTTTGAATAGTATTTATTTTTGAATAATTTATTTATTTTTGAACAGAAAGACAGGAAAGAGAGAGGGAGTGGGGAACACACTCCCATCTCTGATTCACCTTCCCAAATGGCCATGGCTCTCCTGGAGCCAAACCTGGAAGCTGAGAACCCTATCCAGGTCTCCTACATGGGTAGAAGGCACTCACCCACTTGGGCCATCACTCTGCCTCCCAGGGTACTCCTTAGCAGGAAGCTGGGGTGAGGAGCTGGAGTCAAAAAACCCAGGCAGTCTGTCCGAAGTGGAACATGGGCATTCTAATCGGAGTCTTAACTGTCCCTAAACTATATTGTTTAAGGATGCATACTACGTGCTTACTACTATAAAGATAAGCTAGGAAATGATTGCACATGAGCAGAGTGGTTGGATCAAAGAGGTGGGAGA